CTATCATTCTTCCGTAACTTTTTTCGTCAAGCCATTTGAGAAAACTGCTGAACCGGATAATCTGAAAATGCTCTATACTGATAGTCCTAATGTGATCTGGTGCAACATGCTTCCAGAATTTTGATTGGTCAATTAGTTTGGTAGCCATATTAGATTGAAATAAAACTGGAAGTGACTGTTTGACCACTTTCTGAAGGTCCAGGCGTTTAAACAACTCATGTGTGTAATAGATATCAGCAATAAAAACTTTAGCAGTCACGTACTTTTCCCCGCCATTTTGTTTTTTCTAAAAGCGGCAAAAAACACTTAAAAATCTTCTTCTTCAGAACCGCCGAGTAAAATGCTCTTATATTTAGTACTTAGCTTCGACATATGAAGCAGATTTAAGTTTGAAAAATTTATTATGATTGGTCACATGGTTTGGCCACCATTTTAGATTTGTTCTAAACACGAAGTAGTTTTTTACTCATGCCAAACCCAAAAAAAGATTACAGATCAGTCACATGGTTTGGCCGCCATCTTGGATTTTAGACAAAATTGGCCAAAAGTTTGGGCATTTGCTTCTCAGAGGTGATTTAACCAATTAACTGATGATTTTGAATATAACATGTCTGGACATGAGAAAAATAATATATTTTCGATAAGTCACATGGTTTGGCCGCCATCTTGGATTTTAGGCAAAATTGACCAAACGTATTGGCATTTGTTTCTCTTGAATGCTGCAACTAATTACCTTCATATTTTGCATATAACATGCTTAACTATAGCTCAATACAAGAAAAATACAATAAAATCGTTCACTCGCATGATTTGGCCGCCATTTTGTATTAGGTATTACCAAAAATTACCAAAATATATTTTCGATCAGTCATGTGAATTGGCCGCCATCTTGGATTTTGTGAGAACAGTAAATGGGCAGTTACATGTGTGGTATTGGTCTGATTGGGGTGAAAATTTGTATGTGCTTTGATACTCCTGAGATACATTATTTCACCAGAAAGACACATGGCTAGGTCATGTGACTGGGTGCCCATAGGGTGGGGGTTTCTCTCACCCCATTAATACATGTATGCATAACCTTTACATCTCAAACACTGTTGCAATTAGGAAGATAAAACCTACATTATTAAGATGACGCTAAACAAGAGCTCACACTAAAATAACAGATGACCATATATGGTCACATGAACTTATTAATATGCATAACTGGTCATATCGGAAACACTGTTGCAGAACGTTACATGCGACCAGTGTCATAATGAAGGCATCAAACGAAAGATGTAACTGACATAAAAGAATTCCATATATGACATTGTAACATTATTAATATGCATAAGCACATAGCTCCTTATATATTTTAAAAACTATATCTTGATAACCAAACCAGATAAATAGAAGGAACCAGCGGCACGTCAACCTCATTGTACAAATTATTCAAAGTACCTTAATGGCAATCCAGTGACCACTTTAAATACGGATTTTGTCTGATAGCCCCTGTGATGCTGCTTGCAGCTTTAATTAACACCTGTGATCATTTATTTTGTTCTTCACCGGACATTGTAATAGTTATTCTTTCAAATGTAACTCCAATATTTTCTTTTACAACATAGGTTATTTGCAGCTTGACTAGACGGTTCTCCACATCAGTGAGGACTAAGGCTACAAATCGTGTTTATAACCAACAGAAACATTTCCAGGTAAGATATTTACTATACGGTGTATAATTTAGAATTACCATTTTTAACCACATCTCTGCATAACGCACTGATTTCAAAATGTGCATAAATTATAACCTGGTCCTTTTTCTGTCATTGATAAATCTTGGAGCATTGTAGGTGTCATTCTCATTTTAGGCGTAAGCTAGGGTGAAAGCCCTTGATTTGATTCTATACATGCCACTAACATTTTACAGTCCCAACAAACAAAACATAACAAAAATGTAATGCAATGTCCATTGGCTTCAATTTTGTTGGTAATGACAAGTGAAGTGCAAGTTTCAAATAAAAACAAACACAGGGATATTGCCCAGTGTTAAACGATCACAGTAGTGTCACGCTATGTAGCAGGAATGTATTGGCACCTTATATCATTACAGGAACTCAAATGCGGGGCTTGTAATACAAA